TATACATGATTTGCAAAGTTTTGTTGAATTTCACCGTGGCATTTTACTTTTAGGGTATAAAGAATACTATCCGTTTTGGGCAGTATCCTTAAAATCAGTCCAAAACATACTTTTTTCTTTGTGTTTGCACAAGTTCTCGATAGGATTAGGTATGACTGTTTCTCTAATTCTTCGTCAATTTATCCCCTTCTGCACCCATTGTATAAAAAAATTTAATCAACGTGTGGTTCGTTTGATCTCAGTTCTTCATTGGTTAAAATCCGATTATGACGTCGAATTTACTTGCTTTTCTCTGAATTTCCTATTGTGACGACAGTTAAATTTTAAATATTCAAAACGCTCGGCGAGCCTCGCGTTTTAAATTTGAAAATTTAAATGTCTCGAGTGGATAAATATCGTATCAAACTCGATGCAGTGGTAGAATCTATATTTATATGCGTAGTAGAAACACGATCAGACTCGTATTTTAAAGAAAAATATAAAAAACTATAGCCCGAATGTAAATTATGGTTGAAAATTATTGAACATGTCAAAAACAATATGCTGAAACAAGTATTGTAAATATATCTCTAACATCACCAACTTTTATGGAATTTGTTCGTTTGAACTGTACATATTGGCTTACAGAAAAAAAAAAAAAAAACAATTTGAAAACAAAAATTATTTATTTGTTTCATAAAACCTTCTACAGTCTCTCTTTGTAGAATTTTGTTGTGTGGTGTGAGTAAGTGAAAGAGGTATCGTCCACCTAGTTACAAAACACAAGGTTTGTTCCCTCCCCATAAATACAAAAGTCCCCATCAAACGCACAAGGAACTTCCGAACATCTGTAAGAGTTATCTCCCACATCCAAGGTATCATTCAAAACAATACACGAGCTGTTATTTTTTTCTTTGGATTTTGTCAATTTGTGTCATGAATTACTTCACCATATCCCTTCTTTTCTATAAAAATGCCTATTTACAAGAATGCATGTAGATCAAAATATGTTTTTTTTTCACATCGATAAATCATGCAGATAAAAAAAAAATACAGTTTTTCAAATCTACATAAATTCCAAAGTTAGCTGAACATAATGTCCTGTTCAAGAATTAAAAAAAAACTTCACCAAAGGAGCAAATTACAATACCATTTCAGTTCATAAATTCATTAGTTTCTTTAAGAATAAACACTTGTGTATATTGTTGTTTAAAAGCTTATAAAGGATTTCTAAATACAAAATTGGTTCTGTCTGGAATTCTTTAGTGGATTACAGATATCCTTATTCTTGAGCAATACAGAATAAAAATACCTGGTCAATGCAAACTTGGAAGCGTTCTTCATACAATGGAGATTACATCAGAAAAGCGCTTCGTATTTCATTTACATTTAATGCTGTAAATCAAAAATTTGTCACACTTTGTTTTGCATTTGGCCCCTTTCGATCCTTTTTTCCAAACGGCTTGCATAGGTGTAACCCCCCCCCCCCCAAAAAAAAATCACGCGGTTGTTTTAAATTGATACCAACTGAATTACAGTAGAGATTTAGGTTTTTAAAGTAATAAGTTACGTTGTACAGTTAGAAAGAAATAAAAAAGATCCATAAATAACAAAATATCTAAGAACTTTTTTTTAGGGAAAAAATAATACGACACACCACTCTGGTTTCCCCCTTTTCCTGTCTGTGGATTAAAGCTGACATTCAATAAATATAATCAGGTTTACCTACATTCAATATATACACAGAAATAACTGACTATAACAAATGTAAAAACACAGATCAATAACATTGATTATAAAGACTAACAGTTAAAAACAATCATTCAGCTTGCAATACAATTAATACAAGTTGTTTTTTACTTTCCCTGAACGGCGATCATGTCTACTATTTTAACACATATGTACACCTTCGTCGGAAACAGACAGTTTATCACGTGCCGTCATAGGAAACACATAATGCCTCGATCTGTCAATCTGTTTGCCTTTTATTAAATAAAGGTTTAAGTGAACTTTCTAATTAGCAAGCAAACAAAATCTTAAAATGCACTTATGCGGACAAATGATATTATGCACTGGGTTTAATGAGATATTATGCATGGATTTCGCAGTTTAAAATAAAAGAAAACAATTGTTCCAAATGGCACGATTTCATCAACTTCATGTGGCATTACAAATATCCCCATTATTTCCTATTTGCGAAACACATCCACACAGGGCATCCCGATCTAAAATCGGCGGAGGAATCCGAACCCCGAGGAGCAATCACACGAGACAACAACATGGTGAGTAAGTAAAACCTGGATTCCATTCCCATACTCCGTGGGGAAAAAATCAAGATTTTACTTCCAAATTGCACTAAACAAAGTGTGATTGCTCCTTGGGACTCGGATGCATCCGCGGATTTCGGATCGGGATACACGTCTGCTACACACCTAAATTAAAGTTGCTGAAATAAATGAAACAAAGAGTGCAATAAGAAAGTAAAAACATATCGAAAAAGTTACATTTTTAAAATTTTACCGTGTTTATGTAAAGAACTTTATATTTAGGTGTTTCCTGAAGCTCTGAAATCCTAGGGTGTATTGTCATAAATTAAATAGTTTATACCTCTCTAAGAGCTGTAAGAAAATACTTCTTAGTGAAACAACCTTGACGATTTTAAAAATCACATATGTACAAACGTATGTTTTTTAAGGAAAATATATCCAACTAAAGAGGTAGTTAATGTAAGAGTGCTACTAAGGTATATATATATATATATATTAACAAAATCTTAAAAACATCTATACTATCGATTACGTGTAACAATCATAGCATATCATTATCGACTGAATAACACATATGGTGTCGAATCGATTGAGTTACCTGATTGGTGTCAAATCGATTGAGTTACCCAACTAATATCGAATCGAGTAAGTAACTAACTGGTGTCCATTGTCTGATTTATGCACAGTTTGTTCGAGGCGCGTGATTATTGTATTTAACGAGGCCCTCAATTTTCATAATTAGATTAGCTTCATAGATTTAAGGGCCTGCAAAATTTCTAAAATATATTTCAGATTGAACTAGAAGCGTTTAGTGGAGTTCCTGGAATTACCTGTATATGCAGGTAATTATGTTTAGGGAGTCGTGATATCGAATTGTGAAGGTGGTGAAATATTTGATATTCTTCATTAGTTTTATGTGTCTTGCATGCCGAAGTTTTAGGAAGCACCCTAAAATCATTTGCATAGTAAACACATCTTTTAAAAGTTTCCATGAAATAAATCATGTTTTTGATTTTCGCTCAAACTACATGTATACAGTACAAGTAATGTGCATTAAGAGTAATAGTAAACAAATAAATAGGAAGCACCTGATCAAACTTTCAAATCTGAAATTGACCACACATTAATTGTTTAATCTAACGGGAGTTACGTTTTCTTTACTTTTTGGAGATTGTTAAAGTGGTAAAGGGAATGGCAAGCTTATATTTAATTCTGAATTATCCTCATATATGAGGGTCTGGGTGGGTTTACAGATTAAAGAACAAGGGCCCACAATATAGAGAATAGAGAAAAATGGACCCCAAAAAATATAGAATAGGGAATAAGTGGGTGCTAAAATATAAGACAAATAGAGAATAGTGGGCGAAAATATAATTAACAGAATTAGAAATGGCCATCAAAGTTAAAGAATGTAGAAATGAAAAACTCCCACCCAAATCAACATCCTCGTATATCTAAACGGTTGAGCAGAATGTAAATGTCATCTGAAGACATATTGCATGATAGCAGTGATTAACCTATGCCTACAAAATGTTTTAATTTGATGATGCAGGCAACAGGTTTCGGACATACACGTGTTAACTGATATGTGAATAGGAGCAAAACAACAACAATAAGAAATGAAGCACTATTCTGTATATCATCAGTAACGGATGGATGGGGTACCAGACATATTTAAAGAATGCTTAAACCTCAATTATTGTAAGCGCATATAATGAAAATGTTGTCGTCGAACCAAAAAAACGACCAAATCGCTTTTATGTACAACATGGCTTAAAGGCCTAACACTCACCTATCATTTAACTTAAAACATTAAAAGCTGTTGTAATTTCTGTACAATGGAAAAGGTTTTGCTCTTTTGGAAACCACGTACAAGTCACGTGCAACAATATCGGTTATAAAATGCAATAATTAATTGTGAATCTTAAGTATTCGCGGAAAAACATTTTGCTGTGCCCATTAGAGATTTCCCTATAGAAGCAGAGTTGTAAACTTTCTTAAAACATAACCTGAGTTGAAAAAAATTTCCACTCAAAAGGGTTTCGGATAAAATGAGTTCCTTTAAAATATCTATTATCTTGTAACTGTGAGGGAAACTGCGTGTGTTATATATGATTGACTAATGCCTATGTATATTTTGGTCAACTTGCGGTGTTGTCTTACTGACTCTTGTTGACATTTACTTAACAACCATTTTAATTCATATAGAATTTGTCATTTCATCAAGAATACGGATTTATAAAATAGCCAACATTTGTTAATTTAATGGCAAACCTCCAATACATGTCTAACGATCTTAATTTGGATCTATTTAGAATAAATGTCGCCGGTCGTTCCCTTGTTCATTGAATGTCATTTACAGATTTTAACAGAAGAAATGTATAATCCTGAATAAATTAGCATTTATAAAACTTTGCGACAAATATCCTACATTAGGGTAGAGGTGAATATCCGCCTATCAAATCTTATCAGGCTTATTCAAGACCGACATCCGACATTAAGGAAGAACAGCAATTGTTTTAAATAAATCTTTTACTTGAAATCAATTATTTGTTTGGTCGACTTTTGTAATCTATTTACTGGGCAAAGGGTGATTGTACAATACATTTGAACGAGGAAATGAAAAAAAACTTTGATTTAAAACACAACTATTTCATGCAAACAAAGAAAAGGAAGTTTGTGGTTTCTCAACCGAATGTAAAAACCTTTTAAATGCATTATACCCTTACTGTTATTTTACACACTTTTTACTGAACATATAATCCGGGAAATGTGTACGCTTCAAACATGTACAGGATTTCTACACTTACATTTATATTACATCAACGGAAATCCTTAAAACTAAACAAAATGTAACCATGAATCTTCATTTTCTGTTGGTGTAGTTTTAGCAAAGCATTCGAAGCTGTAGTTTTTATCCGAATTACTATCCCAGTACGTTGTACCGTTTGTAGTGTAAGATATAGCGAAGTCAAGCTTATTATGAACACCTAGAAAATCTGGTGCAACTATACTGAACGAAAATCTATCCGTAGGTCCATCACACGAATTTTGAACGTAGGAAGCTGAAATATCATGAAACGTCCCCCAGTTATTTGTGGTATATCTGATTCGCACTGATTTGTGAAATCCAATGTTAGCTACCCGCACAACACCTGTAATGGTCATTTGGGTAATCACAGCATTTTCTAATCGAACTTTGTTTGTCATTACAGATTGAAAGAAGTCGTCTTGTGCACCAGGTTGAGAAAAACAAGCCCCTAAATATCTACTTCCCATACTTTGTCGGTCTTCATCAAGCCCAGTTTTCAAATCAGACATGGCTGATGCTGGAATTTTCGGGGGAGCCTCCAAGTTGAGAACATGTCTAACATCCTCCAGGTCTAATCCCATAGCATCTGCAAATCGTACCATTTTCTTTCTGCTTGGTGTGCCAGGCGGAGTTTTCTGACTTTTCAAAGACGAAGATTTCCTAAGTTCTGACTTGCAAAAATTAAATTCAGACTCTTCGTATTCAACCGGTTCATCTTCTTTCAATAATTCAGTAATAGATTTTTGTGAACCGAAATCCAACACTTTTTCTTGTATGAAAGGCTTGTCTTCAATTTTTAAGTGAGGTATACATTTTCCATCAATTTGTTTTGCTCTTGAACATAAAAGACTAGATTGCATCGTTTTTAAATCAGAGTTCCCCACCTGAACCTCCTGATGCCCTTCGCCAAGGTTGTCAGCATCATCAACCGGACTATTGATCGAATCGTCGTAACAATCATCGCTGTCATTTGATTTACCATTCAATGAATCTTCGTCCAAGTCATCATTCAAATTAACAAATACTCCTTCTTCACAAAAATCAGAATCATTAGAATTAATAGAAGTTTCTTTTTCTTTAAAAAATGTATGTTTACCTGGTAATGGATCGTCTGCTTCCTCGTCGAAATCTGTTCCGCCATTCATTGTCACACAATCTCGAAATCCTGACATTGTGTCCTTAAAAATTTTATAAACGATCTTGGTCTTGGTGGCAAATGTAGACGATCTCTCAGGTGTGCTACTGCGCCTTGTTACGAAATCGGCAGACACTGAATAATTGTCAAGTACGCTCTCTTCTCCGTAGGATAAATTCCGTGGTAAAAATAACTTAAAGTCAGGCTCTTCGTAATTAATTTCCTCTTGCACATCTTCATATGTCTGCATGCTACAATAAACAATCACACTCTTTTCTTGTTTACATTGATTTAATACCAAAAATCATTATATGAATTTAAATAATCCAGAACGTGATATTTATAAACCGGCTTCTTTCTTTTTCATAGGTCATAGAATGTTCAAGGACAAGGCCATTACCGGTGTTTTGACTGCGTAATTCAGCAAATATTGCACACCTTCAGAAGTATTACGAAATGTAACGGACATTTTGATGCATATTTGAGAGAGTTTAATTGAAACCAAACAAACACTAATAGCTTCACTAATCACAGTGGTTTTATCAGATTTTACTATGAACCACGTGATGAAAACGAAAGAAAATATATATCACATGACCTACTGGATAAAAATAAATGACATATACGCGGGAAATATGCTCAAGAAGTGGTTGTGCGTTTGATAAAATGTTTATGAACTACTTTTGAGATGGTATTTTCAAATATTTTTTTTTAAGAATTTAATTATTGAAAAAAGTAACTTCGATTAAAATTTTCCTATTACAGAGTAGGATTTAGAGGGTGGGGTGACCGGGACCCCGTATGGAGCTTCTTTTCTGGTTAATCCAGACTTTAACCGGTTCCATTACAAATTTTGTCTAGTTTGGGAACCCACGGACCCCCTTTTTTCAAACTCCTGGATCCGCATCTGTAATAAATATTTCGTCGATTAAATGATATAAAAAGTATTTCAATTCCCTCTAGATCTACATACATTGCTAATAAAAGTGATCGTATTTATATAATCATTACTTAAGTTAACACATGCATATAATACTTTTGCAAACAAAGTCCTCCCGAATTACCAAGCTATACAGGGGCGGATCCAGCCATTTTTAAAAGGGGAGGGGGTTCCAACCATATGTCCCCATTCAAATGCATTGATCGTCCAAAAAAAGGTGGGGTTCCAACCCCCGGACCCCCCCTGGATCCGCCACTGCTATAACATCGGCCATGTTCAGTCAGGGTGTGAACATTTTTTCTTTAATTATAAATTCACCCAATTAGTCGACCTTTACTTTGTTTTTCTATATGCATGTTTCTGTTTACCATTTGATCGTTAAAGTATTATTTTGATAATAAGGGGACTTTAGGGTGAATAAAAACGATATGCACAAAAAAGTAAGGTAGGCCCTATACGTCCATGAACCCGCAAATTTTCTAATTTATTGTTTAAAGCGAGAATAACATGGTAAGGTAATTTTTCTTCATTGCAATTCTGTTCAGTATGATTTGGAAATTTCACACGATCATATCTTGACGTTATTGCATGAAATTAATTAATGACAACATGGTTTCATATAAAAAAGTTAAGGAGGTGTATAGCGGTTTGTTGTGTCCGTCTGTTCGTCTTGTGTCCCACTTTCGTGTCCGCTACTGCATCTGGACCGCCTGGCAATATTTTCATAAACTTTCACAAAATATCACTTACATGATTCTTTAATTATACTATCCGAATGTTATAAGTTTTTAATTTGGCATAACTTGGACTGTTGTTTTGTTTTAAAAAAATAATTATTATGAATATTTATTGCTAAACTGTTATGAACAGTCATGGTCCTACATTCTATCGAAACTATGAACGTATATTTTGGCATTGAAACAATGTCATACTTTCCCCTGACTGTTTATGACGTATTTGCACTAAATTTAATGGATGTGTACTGATTGATACTTTTATCTTGGAGAACATAATTGATATATTAGTTCGTAGTATTTGGTGTTGAACTAACTTTTAGTAACTGTAAGTACTCTTAGATGAGTACTTTATATGAATTTGTCTATTTTTTAATTATTTGTTTTGCTTGTTCCAATCTAATGAGTCAAGCTTCTTTCATCTAATTTGTTAACAGTTTGTTCTTATGTTGTGTTTTTACACCATTGTCACATGCAGGTTAGATTAGGGCTGAGTGCTCACAAACACGTTTAACATCCCACATTCTTTATGTGTCTGTCCAAGGTCAGGAGCATTCAATTCAGTGCTTCTATGTAATTTGGTCTCAGGTGGAGAGTTGTCTCACTGGCAATCATGCCACATCTTCTTATTTTTATATTTGTCGGTTGTTGCATGCCATATTAGTTTTTCGTTAATTGTTTTGTCATAAATCAGGCTGTTGGGTTTTTCGTTTGAATTGTTTCACGTTTTTCATGTCGGAGCCTTGTATAGCTGACTGTACAGCAAGGGCTTTGCCCATTGTTGAAGGCCTTGTGATCTATGGTTGTTTACATCCACGTCATTTTAACGGTGATAGATAGTTATCTCCTTGGCAATCATACCATATTCTTATTTGTATATCATATCCGCACACTACAGTTTTTGTACCCACTTCTCCTTCTTAAATCATACTAAAACATTATAGGAAAACTTTCTCAAAATCTTCACCATATAATTCAATTGTGCACTTTCAATTTTGTAATTTGATCCGAATTATTTTGTAGGGTTTCCCTTAGCAAATCATGATCCTTAAATTGCTATTGCCTGACAGATTTACACATGTTCTAGCTGTGAAATAGAACCACCTTTAAACCTAGATACACGCGCAAAATTAAATATATTCTCAATCTTTTCAATTTTATTCACGTTTAGAAACTCAAAATATAAACCCTTTTTTTAAATGAGCCCATAAACTTGTCTTAGGTAGGAAAATTTAGAAGGACTTTACACATGGTATTGTACCTTACTGGTATTTCAGAATTACAAATTACAGATTTTGATATCGGGGCAAGTAATATAAATACAATCATGATGTAATGAATGTTTTAGAGAAAAGAATAAATTACTTGAATGAAAATAAAAACATTTATTTACATAAAGTCATCGCGATAAACTTGAATTGTAAATATTTTACCAAGATCACAATAGTTTTAAAATTGTTGAAAAAATATTGGAGAGAGTGAACACACTCTTTTAAAAGAAAAGGGCAGACATTTAAGATCCCTAGTGATCAGAGATGGGAGACAAAAACATTTCTTCCTATATTGCAAAACATAAAGAAAATCGAGAGAACTTTTTAAAAGATATAAAAACTATAAACAAAGTCTTTTGAAAACTTTGGAAATTTATATGACACAAATCAACTAAAATTCATTTAATAGATATAAAAACTATAAACAAAGGCTTCTGTTAACGACAAAAAGGTGAATTCTTTGGGCACCCATTTTGTATCCGCATCAACCCCAGAACAGCGTTTTTGGAACTTATTAAACTTAGCCCTACAATTAACCATTTTGCTTCCCTTATTTGTTTTTTTTTTATCTTAACTATTTTTGTGGTTTCTTTTCGCAAATGATTGTCTGTCCCATTGCATTTACATGGGTAAAAATTCTGTATTTGCAACTCATCTTAAACTCCTAAATTTTACAATACCTTAAGTGTATTATTGCTTTGCTTGTACTTGTTTTGTTATGTCAAAGAACGTCTCGTCCTTAAAAAGTTCATCGGAAGATACCAAGACCTTGTTGATAGATATTCCGTATCAACTTCACAAATACTACACGATGGTCTTCAAGTATATAGATTCTAAGTACTGTCGTTGTTTATCATTTTAATTACAGGTTATAGTTTTCTTTTTATTTGTCTTTGTATATTTTTAACATTTATATTTTAGTCCATTTTTGGTAATATATTTTTAGCGTGTCTCTGTATTTATACATCCCGCCATTGTGTTATTGCACTATGGATATTTTTGTATTCTTGTCTATGTACTTTGTCTATATGTCATTTTGTTTTTCTTTGTTGAAATAGTTATTTGTTTTATAGTGATTAAGATTATAAAACAACTGCACCCCAATTTTGACAATTTTACCTATTATGTCTGTTTGTTTTGCTCACACATTGTTGCCAATATAATGGAATTCTATGCGACTGTCATACAAGTGAGTGGGTTCGCTAGCTATAAAACCAGGTTTTAACAACCGTTTTCTACATAAGGAAATGCCTGTACCAAGTCAGGTGGCAGTTGTGTTCCATTCGTTTAATGTTTTGCCATTTGATAAAGGACTTTCCGTTTTGAATTTTCTAAGTGTTCGGTATTTTTGTAATTTTACTTTTTCTACTACACCGTTATTTTAATGTTCCAAATAGGGCATTTCACGTATTGAATTTCATTGTGCGTCTTTTTATGTACCCTTCCATTGTCCGATTGACCCAAAGATGTCCTAACTCTGAAATACTGGTAATATTTGTTAGTGAGGGAAGTATGACCCGATGTAAACCCAGTATGGAGTTTGCTAGAGGTTTTTTTAGTGTCGTTGGAATGCATTCACATTGAAAGTATACTACACACTTTTTCTTCATACAGAACAGAATCTAGACTGTTTCAAGAACGAAACTATTTCAATCATGAGCGAAATGAAAAACCAAGTTGAAATGTCATTTTCAAGCTGAAACTTTATATCTCTATTGGAAACTTTACGTCTCCAGCGAAAGACTTTGAATCATAATTCGTGGTATGACACACTTTAATTTTGAAAACCTATATATTAATATGCCTTTATAATTTTCAATGATTTTGTAAAAAGAATCATTGTAATATGAAGTCATTGTCAATCACAGGAAAGTGAAAAGCTATGATAAATTTGGGTCATTTTATAAAACTTAGATCGTTTTTCATTAAATTTTACCTATCAATTTCATAGATGATACGGACCTTATACACTGTCAACATACCTAAATAAGAGAGAGAAAAATTGAGGCCAAAAATATGCCTTAATCATTTGTATTTCGTTAAAACAACAGAATTCAAAGCACACCAAAGGATATAAATGTAACACATGTTATTGAATGCGTCATTAAATTGGTTGTTAGCAGGATTTTTTGTAAAGAATGAATATCTAAACGAACCCATATTATATCATTATTATATAAGATCCTACTATAAATTCAAATTATTTTCAGACTTGAGAACACACACCAAAGAGATGTAAAATTCAAATGTTATAAGAAATAAAATTTACACTAAAAGATTTTATAACATCTTATATGAAACTTTATTAAAGTTTACTACACTATAACAAGACAGAAATCAGCGCAAAGATGGAAAGACATGAGTCCCAAAGACAAAACATTGAGTCGAAATTACCTTGCACTTAAAAAGAGGCATCACAAAAATACAGTTAAATGAAAATGACATATGATTGAAAATATTAATCGATTGCAGCCAACATTCGACTGATATGTGTTTAGGCTTCCATTTTTTATTTTATTCACTCTTATTACTGGCAGGATACTTTTAACAGCATAAATCACGATTGTTGAAATGTTTGCTTTGGAATAAAGATATGGTAAAACTTTCATATCATCACGTAAGCACTACGAG